ACATTTTAATGATGTTAATTCTTCTAATCCATGAACAAAGTATATGCTTTCACTTTTTTATATCTTTCTCTATTTCTCTTTTCAATGTCCTGTAGTTTTCTGCAAATAGATCCTTTACTTGTTTGGTTAAGTTTATTCCTAGGTATCTTAATTTTTTTGCCATGATGGTAAATGGGATTGTTTTTTTAGTTTCTCTTTCTGTGAGTTAATAATCATTGGTGTATAAGATAGCTGTCGATTTCTTGATGTTAATTTTGTATCATGTTACTTTGCCAAATTCATTTATTAAGTCTAGTAGATTTTGATGGAGTATTTAGGGTTATTCATGTACAATATCATGTCATCTGCAAATAATGACAGTTTCACTTCCTCCTTTCCAATTTGGATCCCTTTTATTTTTTCTTCCTGTCTGACTGCTGTGGCTAAGACTTCCAGTACTATGTTAATAAGAGTGGTGAAAGTGAGTGTCACTGTCTTGTTCCTGTTCTTAAGGGAAATGCTTTCAGTTTTTGTCCATTGAGGATGATGTTGGCTGTAGTTCTTTCATATATGATCCCTCTGTTCCTAAATTGCTGAGCATTTTTATCAGAAATGGGTGCTGAATTTTGTCGAATGCTTTTTTAGCATCTATTAATATGATCATATGATTTTTATCTTTCATTTTATTTATGTGGTGTATCACATTTATTGATTTGTAAATATTGTACCAGCCTTGCATCCCTGGGATGAGTCCTGCTTGGTCATGGTGAATAATTTTTTTGATGTATTGCTGAATTCGATTTGCTAATATTTTGTTCAGGATTTTGGCATTTATGTTCATCAGGGATATTGGCCTGTAGTTTTCTTTTCTTGTAGTGTCTTTTTTTGGTTTTGGAATTAGAATTAGAATTATGCTGGCCTCATAAAACGAGTTTGGGAGTCTTCCTATTTCTTGAATTTTTAAAAATAGTTTGAGGAGAATGGGTATTAGTTCTTTGAATGTTTGGTAAAACTCCCCCATGAAGTCGTCCGGGCCTGAGCTTTTTTTGCTGGGAGAGTCTTGATTACATCTTCAGTTTTCTTCATTTTTATTGGTCTGTTCAAGTTTTCTATCTCTCTCTGGTTCAGTTTTGGAAGACTGTGTGTTTCTAGAAATTTGTCCATTTTGCTTAGATTGTCACATTTGTTGCCATATAGTTGTTCATAGCATTTGTTAACAATTCTTTGTATTTCTGTGGTGTCAGTTATTACCACTCCTCTTTCATTTCTGATTTTGTGTATTTGGGTTCTCTCTCTTTGTTTCTTGGTGAGTCTAGCTAAGGGTCCATCAATCTTGTTTATCTATTCGAAAAACCAGCTGTTTGTTTCATTGATCCTTTGAATTCTTTTTTTGGTCTCCATGTCATTTATCTGCTCTGATCTTTACTATTTTTCTTCCTTTTACTTGCTCTGGGGTTTTCTTTTTGTTTGCTTTCTAGTTCTTTAAGTTGTGAGGTTAGATAGTCTATTAGAAATTTTTCTTGCTTCTTGAGGTAGGCCTGTAGTGCTATGAGCTTCCCTCTCAGAACTGCTTTGTTGCATCCCATAGATTTTGTATTATTGTGTGTTCATTTTCATTGGTTTCCAATAAGTGTTTAATTTCTTCCTTGATCTCCATGGTAACCCATTCATTGTTCAATAACATGCTATTTAGCTTCCATGTTTTCAAGTGTCTTTGCATGTTCTTATTGCAATTGGTTTCTAGTTCATGCCATTGTGATCTGAGAAGATACTTGATATGATTTCAATCTTCTTGACCTTGTAGAGACTTAGTTTGTGCCCTAACATATGGTCTGTCTTTGAGAATGTCCAGTGTGCACCTGAGAAAAATGTGAATTCTGCAGTTTGGGGTATAATCCTCTCTAGATATTTATTAAATCCATTTGGTCTAGTGCTTCATTTAGAGTCTCTGTTTCCTTGCTAATTGTTTGTCTAGAGAATCTATCCAGTGATGTCAGCGGGGTGTTGAAGTCCCTTGCTATGATTGTATTGCTATTGATTTCTCCTTTGAAGACCTCTAGAAGATTTTTAATATATTTTGGTGCTCCTATATTGGGTGCATATATGTTTGCCAAGGTTATATCTTCCTGTTGGATAGATCCTTTCAATATTATGTAGTGGTCTTCCTTGTCTCTAGTTATGGCTTTCATTTGGAAATCTATTTTATCAGATATGAGTATTGCTACCCCAGCTTTTTTTGCTTTCTGTTTGCTTGAAAGATTTTTTTTCATCCCTTCACTTTCAACCTATGTGAGTCTTTTGTTGTAAGGTGGGTCTCTTGTAAACAACATGTATGTGATTTATGCTTTCTTATCCAGTCAGCTACTCTGTGTCTTTTTATCAGAGCATTCAAACCATTTACATTTAAGGTGATTATTGATATGTACTTATTTATTTCCATTTTTATTTAGTTTGGTTATATTTTTCTTCCTATTTCTTTTACTAATTACAGCAGTTCTTTAGCATATGTTGCAGTGCTGGTTTGGTGCTAATGTATTCCCTTAGCCTTTTTTTTGTCTGGGAAGCTCTTTATTTGACCTTCTATTTTGAATGATAGCCTTGCTGGATAGTGTAGTCTTAAATTCAGATCCTTGTTTTTCATGACCTTGATTGCTTCATGCCATTCCCTTCTGGCCTGTATTGTTTCTGTTGAGAAGTCAGCTGATATCCTAATGGGGGTTCCTTTGTAGGTAACCTGTTGCTTATCTCTTGCCTTTAGGATTATCTCTTTGTCTTTAATTTTTGGCACTTTGATTACTATGTATCTTGGTGTGGGCCTGTTTGGGTTCTTCTTACTTGGGGCTCTCTGTGCTTCTTAAACTTGAATGCCTTCTTTCTTTACCAAGTTAGGAAATTTTCTGTCACTATTTCTTCAAATATATTCTTTAACCCTTGTGATTGGGTTGTAGCCAAAGTCTTCAACTCCCTCCTCCCTTGATATATGAAAAGAATTCTGAGAAACAGGATGTTCCAGAACACTACCCCAGGTGTTCAGGTTGAAATACCGTGGAAGTAGAAACTTCCCTTGTTCTCCTTGCGGTTATACCTACGCAAGTAGCCAAATCACATTGTCCTCTCCCTCAATGGGCTGCCAACCCCTCACCCATATGTCCCCTATATAACCCTGCCTGTTAGAGATACCAGCACTGACCCCGCCTTAGGAGTCAGCCTGGCAGGTAACTCTTCAATAAAGTTCTCTTGCCTGAACCCAGGTGTGTTCCTCCTTTGGCCGACCTTTCACCTTCCTCATTTTCTTCTTCGGGGACTCCTATGACGCAAATGTTATTATGTTTCCAGTTTTCCCACAGTTCTCTTAAGCTGTCTTCCTGTTTTTTAATTGTTTTTCTTTTGGTTTTCTGATTGGTTTATTTTTTCTGCCCTGTCTTCTAATTCACTGATCCGATCCTCGGCTTCCTCTACTCTACTGTTTAGTCCTTCCAATGTGTTCTTTATTTCTGCTATGTCATTCATCATTTCCACTTGGTTTTCAATGTTTCTATATCTTTACTCATGGTGTTGATGTCCTTACTCATGCTGTTGAGCTTCCTCAAGATCATGGATCTGAACTCTACCTCTGATAACTTGCTTAGCTGCATTTCATTGATCTCATCTTTGGTAGAGGTCTCTTGTTCTTTCATTTGGATTTGTTTCACCACTTTGGCTATCTCAGTGGGTTTTGGAGCCTGCCAAATTTTTCCTGTGGGTATTGGTGTTCTGCTGTTTGTGGCTCCCTCTACTGAGTTTGGATGAGTGTGGGAGGGCCCACATTAAACACCAATGTCAAGTCTTCCTTTCCTGGGTAGATTTGCAAGCCCAGGAAAGGTTATGTTATTTTCTAGCTTTTTACCTGGAGGCTATTAGTCTCAGTTACTCAGGGCCTTGGGATGTAGCCCTCAGGTGTTCTGTGTAAGAGAATTTCCAGAGAGTGGGGCAGATGCTCATTGTTAATGAGCCTCATTTTGCATTTCTTTGGCTCACCAGGGTGGGGTTGAGTTTCTGAGGGAGAGGCTGCTGCTTTTCTCCACAACTTTGGGAGGGAGCAAGCTGGTCACCATTCTGTGTGGCTGGGAAGGAGCAAGCTGGCCACCATCCTTTGTGGCCATGACTCAGCAAAAACTCTGAGCACCCTTCAAATCCCGGGTATCTCCACAGAGTTCCAGTCCAGTCCACCCTCTTTCTGCCAGAGCCTGAGGTGAATGGATGTAGCCAATCTAGTGCTCTGTCCTGGCCCTCTGCATTGTGGAGTCGGCTTGGGATTTTAACCCCAATGGCGCTGCTCACAGCTAATACCGCTGCTGTCTGTGGTCTCCCAGCTTGCCACCCTCTCACACCCCCATAGACCTACCAGTGTCCCTGGTTATATGGTCCTGTCCCGCTGCTTTTCTGTTGCTTTTTTCCGATAATTTATCTTTATGTTAGTTGTAATTCCCATTTAGTTCTGGGAGATCATCTGTGTAGCTTCCATTTACTCTGCTGCCATTTTTTTCACCCTCCCCCAAAGTTCTTGAGCCAATAAATCACCAGTTTTTTATAAAAGGATGTGACTCAGGAACAGATGGAAGAGATGTAGAGGGCAAGGTGTGGGAAAGGGGCGAGGAGCCCTCATGCCCTCTCCAGGTGCACTACTCTCCCCAAATCTCCATGTGTTCACTCTAAAATTTACCTTTTAATGGACTCTATAAGTAAATACTATATATTTGAACTTAAAAAGCTTCAAAATAATAAAATGCCACTTTTATATTTCTTATGATACAGCATTCTACTTTAAAACAGGTATACCTAATTAAAAAAATTTACACTGAAAACATTATAGTTGAAGGCCCCATCCCACCCCAGTGAAACTGGAGCAGTGTGGCTTAGTGGAGAAAAGAAGATCAGAAGTTACCATCATATAAATCCTGTAAAATGGTCAACAGACTTCAGGGTGAGACATGTCTTTTATGTCAGATGTAATCATTGGTAACATTTCTCATCGTAAGTACCTGTTTGGTCCATTTCTCTGATACGGACTTCCGGATCCCAGCAGTTCTCGTGGACCACCCTGAAAACCTTCCCATCTTTCAGCATCTTTGCTTCTCCCTAGGGCAGAAGGTGCACGTCAGCAAAAGTTAACCTGAGTTGACTTAGATTAACCCTTTCTTGTATGCTTTGGAACGTGGCTCTCCCCTAACATTTTTAGAAGTTTTTACTTAATCCCCAAAGAAGTAGAAATCTGTTAGTTCAGCAGAACTCAGCTTTCCATCCTCATGCCTTCACACTGGCCTGGAGTTAAAGGAGTGTGCTCTGTAGGTATTGGCAGTTGGACAGAGAAAGGAACAAGGTTGTGGTCACGGCCTTCTGGGGCTTCCTGACTGCAGATGGCTGGTCACCTTGTCTCTCGGGACCACTGTCTACAAGCCCCGAGAGGAAGGCTCAGTGTCTGGAACACTCCAGATCATGACATTTTAGAACTGGAAAAGATCTCTGAGATAGACCATCTAGTTCGGCCCTCTCGTTTTATAGAGAAGCAACAGAATGGATAGTGAGAATAAGGGACTTGTCTAGCAGAGCAGGGCCCACTGACAACACCTGCAGCAGGTGGTGGGCAATGAGTGATTAGTCTAGCCGCGTGTACGACATTGGGGGCTGAGCTGCTGACTTCCACCTGGCATCATGCCTGCCTGTGTGTACTGTCTTTCATCACTCAGTGCAGGGGCGAGTAAATGGCCGCACAGGAGCGTGGCTTGGCTTCTGAATCGGGCCTCCAGTTTGTGGTCCCTAAGGAAAAGGGAACGGTTCTGATCCAGGTCCCTGAAATCAGACAGCTCAGGTTCAACTCCCCATTCTACTACTTACTGTGTGGCCTTGAGCACGTTAACCAACATCTCTGAGCCCCAGTTTGCTCATCTTTAACATAGGGATAATAATATGACTTACCTTAAAAGGATCCTGTGAGCATAAAATGGGAGAATCCATTGAAAGCATACAGTTGAGTATCTGATGCACGTTAAGTGTTAGTTGTTCTAAGTATTAGTTATTAATGACATATGATTAATTAGGGACTAGGCTATCTCCTGGTGTTCCCTGCTTTGAGGGCATACCACCTCAGATGGTGCTTCAGGGCCTCAAGGTTGCCCTTGGGCCCTACGTGATGACCAACTGGGCATGTGGTCATCAAAGGCCTTGAGCTCTGCTTGGTGGAGTCCTGTGGCCTCCTCCTCTTCCCCTTGGCTTGATTGTGAGTTGCACACAGGCCTTGCCACAGCTTCCTTCTCCATCCTTCATGGAACAGAACCTTCCCTGATTTCTGCTTGGAGAAAGTCAGCCACTGTTCCCCTTCAAGTCTGGCAGCCCATTCACATCTGGCTCACACGAGGACGCCCTCAGATCCATGTTTTCATTTTTCATTGACTTGGGGAAAAGGTGAGTGAGCAAGTGACTTGTGTAACCATGACAGGTGTCTGTACCCAAGCAGAACCAAGTCTCTGACATCAGGACATCAGGACTGATTTGCCTCAGTCCTCATCTTTTGCTGACGCTGCCAGCATCTGAACACCCCTCCTGGGTTGGGGCGTCTTCTGTGAAGGTTTAGTGGAGGCTGGACCCCGCCTTCCTCTAATAACGTCCAAAAGCCCAAATACTTGCTCTCCTTGTCCCGAGCTTGGCCGATCAATGTCTGTTGTTTTTTGTTGTTGTTGTTTTCTGTTTAATCCTCACCCAAGGATATTTTTCCATTGATTTTTAGATTGTGTGTGTGTGTGTGTGTGTGGTGGTGGGGGGGGGGGACAGCGGGGTGGGGAGATACATCGATGTGAGATAGACACATCAATTGGTTGCCTCCTGCATGACCCCAAATGGGTATGAGAATTGAACCTGCAACCCAGGTATGTGCCCTTGACTGAGAATCAAACCCGCAACCCTTTGGTCCACTGGCTGACACTCTAACTGCTGAGCCAAACCTGCCAGGGCCAATGCTTGTTTTTTAATCGAGAGCAAGTGATGCAAAAGGCAGAACAGTGAACTCACTCTGCCAGTGATTCTCGCAGTGGCCACAGGCTGTGTCCATTGGCAGGGTACTGGTGGCAGTGTGCAGTGTCCAGCTGCAGGGCAGCAGCTCTTCAGCAAAGCTGTTCTGTGGCGTGGCCTCGGCTGTGGCCTCAGGCGTGCACACATTTTATGAGTGTGGTTCCCTAGGCATTCTGTAATTCTTGAGGGTCTTAACATACTTGCAACAAATTTCTTTTATGCTTAAATTAACCATTGTTGGTTTCTGTTGTTTGCAACCAAGAGTCCTGAATGATACTGACTGACAAATGCATATATGAACACATCTTTCCATTTGGTAAAGAAGGGTCTAGAGAGGGGTTGATGGTGAAAGAGAAGTCAGGAAACAAACTTTCATTTGGCAAATTAAACGTTTTATTTTTCTTTTACTCCTTAATAGGAAAGCCTAACCACTATAAAATACCCAGAATCCTAGAGGGCTGAAGCGTGTGATCTTTGCATTCCAACAGACCTGGGTTTAAATCTCATTAAATTACTTATCAGCAGGGTAACTGGCAAAGTTATGGGCCTTCTGAGTTTAAGCCTCATGTGTTCTATCTGTAAAATGTGGGCTATTATATTTGTCATGTTTGTGGCTGCCCAACATCCTTCAAATACTTCGTGGACGTGAAGAAATGTTCACATTATGATTCCTCCTTCCTGAGGGAGAACCCAGAATTCACTTTCCCAGCTCCCCTTGTGGCGAGGGCACTGGCACGTGCTCTAGGCTCTGCCAGGGGCCCCACATGTGACTTTGATTTGGAAGTGAGCATTGTGAGGAAGCAGGGACTCTGAATCTACCTTCTGGTTACGGCGTCACCTGAGGTGTCAGACATGACTGGGACAGAACAGCAATGCTTTGGTCTCCAGTCTCAGTGGCATCAGCATGAGCGTGAGCTGCCCATGACCAAGAGTGGCGACACTCATGTCTTTGCTGCAGCAGCCCCTCAGGTGTGACTGGGCGTTGTGCATGTTAGCACGGCCTCTGAGCTTGATCTCTGACCCTCCCAGGAAGTCAGTGAGCTGCTTTTCTAGTTTCACCAGCTGGACTGAATTCTGCTGTTTGCAACTAAGAACATGGAAGAACATCGAGTGATTCAGAAGATTCGTCAATAGCATGCTTGTAAAGAACCTAACACCAGGACAGAGAGCATGCTAACCAGCCAGATGTTACCATATGCAGCAGTCCCCTCTTACCTGTGGGAGATATGAGTACTGAACCCTATGTGTGCTATGTTTTTTTCCTATACATAGGTACATACCCATGATAAAGTTTAATTTATAAATTTGCACAGCAAAAGATTAACAACATATTAAAATAGAACAATTATAACAAAACACTTCAATAAAAGTTACGTGAATGTGGTCTCTCTGTTTCATGTCTCCCACCCGTAAATTCAATACCTTTTCCATCTTAACTAAGCACTTACCATGCAGCACGGTTGTAATTTGGACAGTTTGAGGTGCGACAGCAAAACTAGCACAAATTTCTTTTCCCTTTTTCACAATTTCATGGATAGAAGATTAATTCTTACTATTGATCTTAATGACCTCAGCATCTGATTTCTTTTTTTCCTTATTAAGTCAAGAACGTTCACCTTTTTATTTAAGGAAAGCACGTTATGATTTCTCCTTGGCATATCCAGATCGCTGCCATCACTGCGCTCGTGCTCTGGGCCAGTTAAGCGAAGTCAGGGCGACGTGAACCTGAGACCTACGCTTCTGAGACGGAAGGTCTGATAACCGAGCGGGCCGCCGAGCGACCCATGGGCAGGGAGCACAGACAGCGGAGACAGTGTGGGACTGCTGGAGAGGTCATCGTGCTACACAGACTTCACACAATTTTAAACTCACAATTGTTTATTTCTGGAACTTTCTACTTAATATTTTCAGACTGTGGTTAGTGGTGGGCAACAAACTATGGATAAGGTGGGGGGGGTACTCTATTATCCATGGCAAGGGAGGAAATTGGGCTTCACCGAGAGGTGCATGAGTGAGTCTGGGTTTAAGGCAAAGCAGTAATTTAGGGTAGAAATGGACCATTTAGTTCAGCTCCTGAATTTATCAATGAGTCTATGAGGTAGAGTGACTGGTCCAAGGTCATACACTTGTTGGTATGGAGCTAGGACAAGAACCCAGGCTGATATTTGGTAATTGGTGTCTAGTAGGCAAAGGTTAATTACTATAATTTCCTAAAGAGTTTGATCTTTGGGGGGATTGCTGTCATTACATGGCAGGAAAATCAGCCTCACTGAAATTCTCTCTCTACATCTTTCACGCTGGTCCATGGTAAGGCAAATGAATCACAGCAACTGTCAGTGAAAGTCCTTCTGAGTGAAAATGACCACAGAGCAGCTGTGTCCCTACAATACATTCCCAGTTCTTACTGTTCTTTCAGCTGGAATTTAGGCCTCAGTTCCTGACCCTCTAACTTACAGTCAGGAACCCAGCGTTCCTGCGGCTGTGAATGTGCCTCACAGGTCAGCACCTGCTGCTGGGGAGGGACCACGGGGCGTTTCTCAGGTTCTGTTTTTAACATTAACCCAAATATTGACCAACATTGTAAGCCAAACTAATAACCAAGTAATTGGAACAAGCTGTTCTAGTTTATTCAACCAAGAAAAACAACTTCTGTTTTTTTCTTAAACTCTCAACAGAAAACTAAGTTTCTATTTTCAATGAAGGAATTCCTCAACCAACCATCATCACCCAAATAACCCATTTCAAATATACCAGTAACATTTTTTAGGCTAGAATAACATGTTGTAATAGAAATCTTGGTGCGGCTGGGGTCAGGAGACCTGGGTCATATGTGTAAACCATTGAATCTGCCAGGACCTCAGACTCTAACTATAAATAAGGGCTCAGAGCACGTGATGCCTAAGGTCCTTCCCAGGATGGTGAGATGTGCCACTCAGACTTCCCTTTAAGAATGAAGGACTTATTCTCTCAGCTTCGGGGAGTGCTGCCATCAGACAGCCCTTGGCGAGCAGCCCTGTGGGGAGGTAAGAAGACCGCCTCAGCTGAGGAGAGCCGCCTCCCTCAAGCTCCTGCTTCACTTCCAGTGAAAGCTGACGTGGAGCGTTTAAAGGCCCCTCTACACTGGGCCGATCCAATCCAACTGGGACAGCGCTGAAGGTTAGCTTTCGAGATCCTTACCGGGTCAGCCGAGGCCTCCGTTAAGACCTCAGCCTTCTCTGTTCTATCCTGCTTCCTTCTCTTCCCTTCCACTGGTGTCCATTCTAAGAGCATTTCCTGAGAAGCCTCCTGTATACCAATCTCTGTCTCAGAGCCTGATTCCCAGAGCCTAACCGGTGACACTTACGATTCCTAACTTCTAGTTGTAGTGCTATCGGAAAATAAGTTCAAATGTGGCTGGTATTTCCAATGTCCAGTACTGCATGTATCATTAACAATGTATTTTCAAACTCAGTATTTCACATCGATTTCCACCCTCCTCCCCTCACCCCAGTGCCCACTCAGGCTGTACCTTTCGACCACGCAGGCTATCGTGCTGTTTGGGTGTTGGATGCAGGGTTGTCAGAAAGGGCCCAGACTCTCTCACCAGGAAGCAGCCTGTTATCACTCCAACCGTAACATCCAAGGGCAGCTCCATGGGAGGCGCTACTGCAACCATCTCTGTCCCAGACCTGCTCGTGCCCCGGGGCTGCTTCTGCCCTTATGCCTGCAAAATCTTTCTCATCCCTCTGAGACAACATCATTTTTTTCACTTCCTTCTGCCTGCCATGTCATCATTCAGTCCATTTCCCAATATCCTGAAATCAACCTCTAAGAAAGACCCTGCAGTGGCTCACTTCCCTCCGTCTCCACTGCTCCAGCCCTGGTCCAAGCTCCATCCTCTACCACCCGAAGAACCACTCGAGCCTCCAGCCCAATCTTTCTGCCTTCACTCTTGCTCCCCTCCAACCCAGTCTCCACAGAACAGCTAGAGTAAGCTTTTAAAAACTTAAATCAGGGCTTCCAGTCACAATGGCGGCATACGTAAAAGCAGTACTCACCTCCTCCCACAACCACATCAAAGTTACAACTAAACTGCAGAACAACCATCATTCAGACACCTGAAATCGAGCTGACCAGAAGTCCTACAACTAAGGATATAAAGAAGAAGCCACATCAAGACTGGTTGGAGGAGTGAAGATGAAGAATGGGTTTGTACAAAAACCCACATGTGGCAAATAAAAACCAGGAGGAACAGCCCTGGCCTGGTTGCTCAGTGGTTGGAGCATCATCCCATACACCAAGAGGCTACAGATTCGATTCCCAGTCAGGCCACATACCTAGGTTGCAGGATCTATCTCTGGTTGTGTACATATGGGAGGCAACTGATCAATGTTTCTCTCTCTCTCTCTCTCTCTCTCTCTAAAAATGAATAAAAACATATCCTTGGATGAAGATTTTTTAAAAAACAGGAGGAGTATCTCAGCTGCAGTGGTACCCCTGAGGAGTGAGGGGTACCAGCCCTATACCAGGACCCCCAACCCAGGGTTCAAATGTTAGGAAGAGAAGTCCCTGTAATGTCTGGCTGTGAAAATCAGTGGGGACTGTGGCTGAGGGAGACAGAGGGCTTCTAGGGTCCCAGGCGTTCCTCTTAAAGGGTCCACACACAGACTTTCTCAGACTCACTTACTCTGAGCTCCAGTGCTGGGGCAGCAGCTCTAAAGTGCCAGGGACATACGGGGAGGAACTGAATTGTCTGACATCAGGGTGAGAGCTGGAGGGGCGGCTTTCTCCCAGACAGAAGTGCTGGCAGAGGCCACTGTTCCTTTGGTGAGCCCTCCCCTCACACAGCCAGCAGCCGGGCGCTATATCTGAGTCTCCACCAACCTGGCTAACATTGTTCACCTCACTATGATGACTCCCTCAGACCCCAACTCTCAGGCCCACCCAGGATATCTCCTGTGGCTTTTCCATACAAATGGCCTGTGTTGGCACATACAGTACTTCAAACTTGCCTAAAATCTCTCAAACAAGCAGCACCTGGCCTCAGCATGCCTGTACCTCTCACTAAGTAGCTTCAGGCCTGGCACTAGCAGTAGCCAGGCTTGGTTCACAGCTCGGCCTCCGCTGGACACTTCCAAGCCCAGCACTAGTAGCAGCCATCTTCGAACTGATGTGTAGCTCACGCTGGTGGCCCTGGGCAGAACACAGGTGGTGGCTGATGTTGGCTTATACCTCCTGGGAGGCCCCAAAGCCAGTGTACCCAGTGGACAACTTCAAACCACATTGAAACATCATCGAACACCTCTACTAGTGACACACTCAAGGGGCAGAACCAGTGGGCACCAGAGCCATGCTAAAGTAAGTCTTGTGCCCTGACTGGTTTGGCTCAGCGGTTAGAGCATTGGCCGCAGACTTGAGGGACCCGGGCTTGGTTCCTGCTAAGGGCACGTACTTCAGTTGCAGTTTTCCCCAGCCCTGGTTGGGGTTGTGTGGGTGGCAGCCAGTCGATGTGTCTCTCTCACATCAATGTTTTCACTCTCTCGCCCTCCCTCTCTATCTGAAGATAATTGAAAAAATAAATAAATAAAGTCAGTCTTGTGTTTGGTGGGCCCCTGCATAGCTGATCCACCCTGGCGGCTGCAGCCAGTCCTTGCAGCCAATCGGTCTGGAGGTAAATCCTTCCCATTGACATGCCAGCAGCAATCAAGGCTCCACTACAACAGGAGGGTGGACACAGTCCACACAGGGGGAGATGGAGTAGTACACCTGAAGTGCCCAGCGTGGGTAAACGGGGAGGCTGTGGCACCAGACCCTGCAGGACACCCACTCCATTAGGCCACTCTGCTACGCATGGGAGATGGAGCAGCTCTACCTGATACACAGAAGCACAGGGAGGCTGCCAAAGTGAGGTGACAAGGAAACAATGAAAGAATAGAAAGAATGAAAGAACTAAATCCCAGAAAAAGAACTGAACAAAATGGAGACAGGCAATCTACTAGATGCAGAGTTCAAAACGCTGGTTATAAAGATGCTCAATAAACTTAGGGGAAAAGTAGATGAACTCAGTGAGAACTTCAACAACATAAAAAAGGACATGGAGCCCGGCTGGTGTGGCTCACTGACTGAGTGCACCAAGAGGTCGCTGGTTCGATTCCCGGTCAGGACACATGCTCAGGTTGTGGGCCTGATCCCCAGTGGGGACATGCAGGAGGCGGCCAATCCATGTTCTCTCTCATCGATGTTTCTATCTTTCTCTCCTTCTTCCTCCCTCTCTCTCTAAAATCAATACAGAAAAAATATTTTTAAAAAAATGCCTTAAAAAAACAAGGGGCATGGAGCCCGCCTGGTGCGGCTCAGTGGATTGAGCGGCACCCCACAGACTGAGCGGTCCCGGTTTGATTCCTGGTCAGGGCACAAGCCCGAGTTGCAGGCTCGATCCCCAGTGGGAGGCGTGAAGGAGGCAGCCAATCGATGTTTCCCTCTCACATCAATGTTTCTATCTCTCTCTAAGAGAATCAATAAAAATATATTTATAAAAATAGGACATGGAAACCACACACACACACAAAACAGTCAGAAATAAGGATACACTAACCAAAATGAATAAGTTATAGGGGACTCACAGTAGAGTAGATGAGGCCCAGAATCAAATCGGCAATTTGGAATATAAGGAAGTAAAAACCACCTAATCTAAATAGCAAAAAGAAAAAGAATCCAAAGAAATAAGGATAGTGTAAGGAGCCTTTGGGAAAACTTCAAGCATACCAACATTCACATCATGGGGATACTGGAAGGAGAAGAGAGAGAGCAAGAAATTCAAAACTTATTTGAAAAAATAATGATGAAAAACTTTCTTAACCTGGTAATAGACATACAAGTCCAGGAAGTGCACAGAGTCCTAAACAAAATGAACCCAAAGAGGCCCACACGAAGACTTAAAAGCAACAAGAGAAAGGCAGTTATTTACCTATAAAGGAGCTCCCGTAAGACTGGCTGATTTCTCAACAGAAACTTTGCAGGCCAGAAGGGAGTGGCAAGAAATATTCCAAATGATGAAAAGCAGGGACCTTCAATTGAGATTACTTTACCCAGCAAAGCTGTCATTTAGAATTGAAGGACAGAAAAAGAGCTTCCCAGACAAGAAAAAGCTAAAGGAGTTTATCAGCACTAAACCTGTATTACATGAAATGTTAAAGGGTTTTCTTGAAGAAGAAGAAAAAGAAGAAGAAAAGAAGAAAAAAAAAAAAGGATAAAAATATGAACAATAAAATGGCAATAAACACATATCTATCAACAACTGAATTTAAAAAACAAAATAAATGAACAAACAGAACAGAAACAGACTCATGGACAGAGAACACTGTGATAGTTGCCAGATGGAGGAGTTGGGAAAATGATGAAGGGATTAAGAAGTACAAATTGGTTCTTGCAGAATAGTCACAAGGATGTCAAGTGCAGCATAAGGAATGTAGTACATATTCTAATAACTATGTATGGTGTCAGATGGGTATGAGATTTATCAGGATGATCACTTAGTAAATTATATAATGTCTAATCACTGCGGTGTACACCTAAAACTAATATAATATATATATATATTTAAAAGTGTGGAAGAATGATTATCTTCTAGAATTAAATAATAATAATAATAATAATGATGATGATGATGATGATGATATAAAACCCTAAATCAGATCTTGCCACTGCCCCACTTAAAACTCTTGAGTGGATTTCCACTGCCCTGAAGGTACAATCCAAACTTCTTTACCTGGTCTTTAAGACCCTGCATGATCTAAACTCTGCTTATCTTTACAATTTCATCACATGCCTACAACTTTTTCTTTTTTCTAAATTGACTTTAGAGAGAAAGGAAGGGAGAGAGAGATAGAAACATGGATGAGAGAGAACATCGATTGTCTGCCTCCTGCACGCCCCCCACTGGGGATTTGGCCCACAACCTGGGCATGTGCCTTGACCAGAAATTGAACCGGTGACCTCCTGGTGCATGGGTCGATGCTCAACCACTGAGCCACACCAGCCGGGCACATGCCTACATCTGTACTGACTTTTTATTAACTCTTTTAAAAGTATTATAATTTAAGTGTACCATTTATTTTTTGTTTGGAGACTAATTGATGTAGCAAAAATGTACATAAGTATATTAAATAATGCTATATGTTTCAATAGAGGCATGTATATATAATTAAAGTCATAGGAAAAGGTATGGGAAGATACCCACCAAACTTATTTTATTTTATTTATTTTTTATCTTCACCTAAGGGCACTTTTGCTTTTATCTTCAGATAGAACAGGAGGGAAAGAGGAAGGAAGAGAGAGAAACATTGATGTGAGATAGACACATTGACTGGTTGCCACCCACGTGACCCCAACTGGGGCCAAAGACAGACTGCAACCAAGGTATGTGCCCTTAGTGGGAATCGAACCCGGGTCTCTCTGGTCCACAGACTGATGCTCTGACCGCTGATGAGCCATACCGGCCAGGGCTACCCAGCAAACTCTTAGTAGGAATTACTTTTGAGGATGGGGAGTGCTGATCATAGGAAACTGTAGCTTTCTCTGCAATAACTTTAAAAGAAGAATTTATCAAAATAATACTTATGCAATGAAAAATTAACCTTCAAAGTAAAAACATGAAATGACAGAATTGGACTAGATTAATGGCTTTTGATCCATTTTGGCTGTGACCCCACC